AACTGGTAACAAGTATAACACAAAATCTGGATGGGAGAATTCTCTCCTTGCCTCTTACACAGCAGACACTGAGGTAGCAAAAATTACACCCTTGTTCCCCATTATTCATGAATAAGACACTTTACATAGAGAGCTTTCTAATTTTTATGATCCCCAGAAGGATGGCTCTCAACATCATACTATCAGAGGGCCTTTCGAAGGTAGTTAATGACTACTCACTCTAAAATAAATAGGTGCAAGTACATCCAATGAAATTAATAGTGCAACTAGTTTAAAGTTAGTATGTTAGTATTAGCATTAAAAACTAATGAGATGTATGGAGACATGGGGAAAGGAAAAGGACAACAGAAGCTTTCCTAGTACCAAATGTCAACCATTTTAATAGCAAATCATGTGTAGGCACCATGAAGAAATGATCACAAAGTGATTCTCAGTAGTGGATGCCTTGATAAACAGTTTATAAAGAATTGGAGTAGTCTTGAAAAAATTACCTATAAGGAAGGCCAATGAAGCTAGAAGGAATGGATAACAGAAGGACAAAATGGGACTGTAAGCTCAAAAAGCACACAGGCATGGGAGGAAATCTCCATTTTACTGGAATGGTAAGATGAGCAAAGTAGGAATAACACAGTAAGTAAGAGTGAGGCCATCTTCCACAGATCACAGCTTTAGACCACAGCTTTAGACCATTCATGGGACAGGACAGCCCCTGAAGAATAAACAATGTGTTGAGCTCATCAAACTAGGCAAGCTAATAGAGCATTCAAAAAGGAGTCTTCATTTTCTATATAATTTTGAATAATTTGTTTCTGTTTCACTATGAATTAATTTATAAATCAGTCATCAATAATTTAATGCTTTGTTATAAAATTATTTTGCATTTCCAGCATTAATGTTGCCAGGAGTTAATGCTGATCCAGGTTAGGTAAAGTTCATTATCAAGCCAGAAATGATAGACCCATGAAGAGCAGTGCTATGCACACAAACTCTCTCAGGGGAACCTGCAAATCGACTGTATTTGAGAATTTCAGGAGCTGAGGCACAACTCTTGCCAAGTAACAAACAGCAGTTTGAGAGTCAGGAGCCAGGACAGAAGCCCAGATCAGTGTCACTTTGGCAAACTGCAGGTAACAAAGGGACAGCTCCTAATTCCTTGTGACCCAGCCTAGATCATCCTACATTGACTGGTTCATCATTTTTTCATCATTTTTGTGGAGAGGAATTTCTCTGAGACCACTGGGGCATGAAAGAAGAACATGCAGCGTTGACTCTGTCTCTTCATACTCTTCAAGTACTTGCATCCGTTTTCCTGATATTTTTATTGCCTATGTTATTCAGCAGCGAAGAAATACAGTGACCTTTCAAATGCAGGTAATAAGGCATGACATCAGTCACCAAAATTACTTTGTTAATAAACCATTTTAATCCTAACAGATGCTTCATTGTTCCACCTATTGTGATTTATCTAGTATAACAGGGTAGAAAGAAAAATCACCTACAACAGCTGCAACAAGACAGAGGATGCAACTACAATTTCTTGTTTCTTTAAGATTATTAATCTTAAATGTGTCAGAGAGCTCCGTGCTGTGCCTCTGAGTCACAGAAAAGTCCTTATTGTGCCTCTAGAGGACATATTAAAGGCTTTCAAAGTTTGCATGAATTTAAAGGAATTTAAATGGATCAAAAGTTGCTGACTTCTTTTTATTCTGTATCAGATAGAACAGTAGTGATTGTTAGCTCCTGAAGTCAGTTGAATATAGTCTTCATTATCGATTGCTCAATTACAAAAAAGATTAGGTTTTGGATTAGGCCTTAAAACACACAACTACTTCCAAGAAAACACAGTAAGACACCCTGGATCTAGCAGTAACGCAAGCATGTTGTGCTTATTTCTGTGCTTTTACTTTTCAGCTCTAAGGCAGGATGGAGTAAATTCTTTCTTCACATAATTTATTCTTTGGTTTATTCAGTTGGTTCCCATACTACCCTTCTCCATAAGAGAAGGCTTGTGAAAATACTTATCATTGGTAATATTCCTAGTACAGGTCTTGACAAAGGCAATGGGTGTGTTTACTATTTCATTCATGTTTTCTGCTTTTAGCTTGATATCACTTTCTCAACTGCCCTTCTTGGCAAGTTTGAGATGGAACACCATTATCCCCATATGCTGCATGCATATTACCTTTTTCGTACCTTAATTTACCAGTATTCAGATCCCACTCCTTTCACAACAAACTGATTAATTTACTTCATCAGGAACATAAAAGACAGTACACTGACTTCCTACTTTCAGCTAATATGTCATTTCATGATTAAAAGTTAATCTAAAAGTACAGTGAAGAGTAAAACATTGTGCATTCAGTACCTGAAGTTGAATTTTTGCATCTTTGCTGACACTTTTTGTTCTCCATCGTCTTGTGACCCGCTTGTCTTTCTTTGAAATATCTACACAGTTAGCCTACATTACACAAATAGTTAAAAGTGACAAAGTACTATTAAGTTGACACAAGAAACACAGACAGTACAGTAAGTTAGTAAAGAATCGTAGCGTTAGACATCTACAAATTAGAAAGTAAGGAGAAGAATGCCACTGCCAGGGCCTGCCACTACAGCAGTGACCAGCTGTAGCTATACACACAGTTCTATAAATACATGGTATATTTAGCTCATTTAGCAAAACTACTGGTACACTTTCCTCATGAGTGCACAACATTTAGGACCAGATCTCGAAATCCTTATGGATTTCTATCCTGATACTACTCAGAAAAATGTAGAGTTCAGCTCTTCCTGAAATCAATGGTAAGTCTCTTTACCTCATTGGAACTAGACTTCCCAACACACCAACACCATTGGGAGATCTGTGTATTCAAGGGGACTGAGTGAAAAGGGAAGAAAGTATTTAGGATTTAGGATCTGCTGTTGCTTTCTTGTGGTCAAGCGGAAAACACACCCTGAATTGGGCAACAGTCCAGCCCTTGAGACCTTTGTACTATGCTCCCTTTTCTAGAGCATGCAACTTTGAGGGTCTTTGGGTCTCCACTGCTTAAAAACTTTAAATTATATCTTACTCAGCACAATAAAAACTCCTTAAATACAATTTCAGTGAATACATTATTTCTATTGTAATAGCTCTCAGTTTTGCTTTGCAAATGACTGAATCATTTGATTTGTCTTATTTAATGCAAATAGTCTTAATTATTTGCTTACACATGAAACATTATTATACATGATTAAGATAAACATGTAAGATAAACCTTTCATCCAAGATTTACTATGATTTCAGAAAATCATTCTAAGTTAACTGACAACTTCTCTGTATTTCCCTTAACACAAAGAACAAATGTTTCAGTGTGATGATTTATGTTCAAGCATATTTACCTGCATGTCTGTGAAATTTGGTGCTGACTGAGTTCTCTGTAGTATTTCTAAATTTTGAAGGAGTTTACTGAGTTCCACAAGGTTTGACTGACAATGAGCAAGATCTAACAGATGTAAAACAAGAATACATTAGGTGCTTCAGTTCGAACTTCAGGGGGTTTTTTGCCATGATGTCTATCATTGGCACTTTATTGCGTTATAAAAGTTAAATGTCTAAATCCCTGATAGTAAGGCATCTAAGTTTAGATTATTTTAGAGTTATTTCTAATGGGAGTCAGCAACAAGTGTGGACTTCAAAAGTTGATCATAGTTTAACAATTATATCCATTAAAATAATACAGATTATCAAGATAAATTTTAAAAGCAACATCGCAAAACATGCAGAGAGAGAAGACCCCACCACAAGCACCTAACTATCTGAAGAGCTACTTCATGTGCATGTAAAGATGTAACTTAACCAGTTTACTGTTTCTTATTTTATAACAAGAAGCTTTGCTGAAAGAACAAGTCATGAAACTGTAAAGACTAACCTTCTGCACATCTGTCCATCTCTTCAGAGTCCTGCAACCAGGCTGCTACTTTACTCTGACCAGTAGTGCAGGTGGCAGGAAGGCTATTACTGCATGGTATAGGAGACTGCCAGGGAAAGCTATTCTGTTGTACCTAAGGCATAATAAAATGCTTAAATTTACTGTTGCTATATTGCTGAGTTGGTGTAATCACCATACTACTTCAGATTATGAAAATAAAATAAACATTGTGATTTCAATGACATCTGTGATTTGACTATACAGTTCCCCAAGATGCAGATTTTTCTGAGCAGCTTGTTGGGAGAACCAAACCAAGATCCTCACAAGCAAACTGTGTTTGGTAACCACCACTTAGAAAAGCTCTTGTTTAAGAACAACAACATTGTCAAACAGTAAAGAGACGGATTTAACCTCAATGACAAAGGCAAGTGCAAATTGTTCTGGGGATGGTGAACTGTTGCAAGATCTCTACAGCAGACCATTAACGAAGGCTGCAGTAAGGCTAGATTAGACAGTCTTTCAGCTACACACACTCACAGGTTTTTGCTGGCCATTGGTTCCCACAGTGGAAACTCCTCTCTATAGGCATTACAAGCAGAGCCCACTGAAACTGCCCTTGAGCAAGTCCAGCAGGCATGAGTTTTCAACAAAAGACCACTACATACCTTTCCATCCAACACATTAGCCGCTGGTGAAGACTCTGTAGTAGAGGCTGAAGGGAATATATGAAAGCTGGCATCTCTCGGAGATCTCACAATCTCATTCTGACGGTACAACCGGTGATGCCGTAATTTTGAAACCCATGCATCAAATGAATCCTGGGACTTCACCTGGAAACAAATTCGCTATCAAGAAAGCATTCAAAACACTACTTTTCTGCACATCTTTTACAGTTTTATTTATTTCCACTGTAGATGAAAAGAGAAGTATTTGCACCACTTTTTACCTTCAGATGATAGATGTGTTCTTCTGTGTCAAGATCTATTCTACGAGCCTTCTTTTTTATAGACATAACTGATAAACCAACATCAATGCTCCCATGGACTTTGCCTTTCTGTATCTAAAATCAAAAAGCAGGGTAAGAAATTGGTAGTATCACACACTTCTTCACTGTATTTAACAGGAGAAATATCTGGTGCTGAAATGGTTTCCCTTTTTATGAACATTTTAATATAAAGCCATATTAAAAAATAAAACCTGTAGTCAGACTAAACACTTATTATATTTATAGACAAAGTATTTCACAAGAAGTGTGCTTGGTGCAGAGCCATCTCCAAAGTTAAAGTGTGTTTGTTCACACCAGTACACAGCTACAGGAAGTGAGAAGCAGAGAAAATTAGACAGTACTGAGCTCCCTGCTGGTATCGCTTGATAGTTATTGGTATCAGATCTAACTAATTTAATGCTACCCTTTATATCTCTTGAGTACATTGTAATCACTTCTCTGTCATATCCACACATCTCAGAATAATCAGCTCTGACTGACATAAAAACTGAAAAAGAAAAATACATGGTCAGGCTAATTTCTCAAGCAGCTTCTTTAAATAAACTACTTTAAGTAATGTCATTTTTATTTTTATAGAATAAGAAAAGGTAGAATTCTTGAGGACAGAACTCAACCAAAATCTTACATGCTTTCCATACACAGACCTCTCTCTGAATCTATCAACAAATTTCATGTGTGTGCTCTCATAAATATGCCTAGAGCAAGTACGAGATTTAAACATCCTGGCAGGCTGAATTCCAATACTTATTTTAAAATGGTCGTCAACTTTACTTACATCAATTGGTGACTTTGAATATTTTAACATTCCATTATCCAGGACAAAAAACCTCTGAAAGAAAAAAAATTAATTCTTTCTTAATGAGCAGATGCAATTCAAACTATGTACAATAATTCATCTGCAAAAGAAAAGGATTACTCTGCGGCAACTAAGGAATGTTTGTGGGTTGGAAAGTGAGGGTAAATACAGTATTGAATAATTTTCTTGGTTGTTTTTTGAACAACAATTATCTTCTAAGCAAGAAAAACTAGATTTCCTTTTTCCAACATTATGTTCTAGGTTTAACTTAGTAAACCTTGATAATGAAGGGTACTTTTTTCAGTTTTCCAGTCAATTCAACAAAGTCTATAAGAAAGACTCTGTAGGCCAAAAGAGTTATGTCTGTCTCTTCATTTTCTTCCTGGTTTTCTCCCCATAGAAGCTGGTCACATTTCAAATTAACAACCTGCCTTCCCTATCCAGAAACTGAAAAGTTTTTCCTAGCATAAGATCTATATATATTCCAAAAGGAAGACCCACATTGTGGTCTCCTTGATCTCCAGCTGGGAAAAAAAATGCAGGCTGTATAAGACACTGCTCTACCATCCAAAACTTTGTGCCTCATGGTATACCTCTATGCAGTGAGGTAAAGATGAGATTGTAATTCATGCTGATTATACCTTTCCTAGCTGTAATCTAGCCAATACAGGTAGCAGTACGAGTGTAAATATTACCACATTCCCAGCAACATACCCAGGTCATGGGAGGGCTTACGTTTTGGGTGTCAGTCATTGCTACAGTGTGAGCCACTACATCTTCATTGACATAGTTACCAGAGCTAGGCTAACCTGATGATGCCTATCTGTGCTGTTGCTACACCTTTATTTTGCGGATTGGCTCTTACACTACAGCAAAGAGCAGAATCCCCTATTCACAATGTGTTTCTCCTGCAACTAAAGTTGCCCTAGCTTGTGTTTACCAGGCCACTTGAGCTGTATTGAGGACAAGTTAGCATAGACTTTGGCACACAGCATAAAGATACAGCCTAGCAAGAAACTTTAAATTAGATTCACTAACTTGTGTTTACCACCACTAACTTTCAAAACATTCTAATTAATAGAAACTGATTCATATTTGTAGAGTTTAACCTAAAGCACTAATCTATGTTAAAAATCTAGAACACAGCAAAATATTATCCTAGATTCTCTAAGCTGTCAGACATGGAAGGGAAGGATGATGTTTTCATGATGTGAACCTGTTAAATTGACACTATGAGCCAGGGTCAGTAGTTAGACAGCAGAAAATATCTCCTGAAGATGGTTCTGGAAATTATGTCAGTCTCAAAATAGATGATTACTGATATCTCACACAGGGCAAGAAAACAGTGCTTTCCTAGAGATGCGACTTCTGGAATAAGGTGTCAAAACAGCAGGAGGGGTTTGGTTCTGTGATCTTTTAACTAGGTGTGGTCATTAATGGACTTCAATAGAATATTCATTTCATATTGCTCTGCCTCTCTAAGTTCCACACACAAAAGAAAATTATCTTTTCTCATCCTTCGTTCCAAAGCATACTGGACTTCAGAAAATTATAAGCTACTCTCAAAGTTGTACACATTATACCTAGTATGCTACTAAAGCACACTCAGAACTGTCAGAATATGACATGCAATGTCCAATAGACAGAGGATGCTATGGGTTTGCTAGCAGAACGCTAACGCGGCACATGCTACAATTACTGTCCGGCATTCCCCACTGGGCTATCAGCACAAAAGACTGATATGGAAACTGCAGGATACCAAAGAAGCAGTTGAGGGAAAAAAAGTAAAAAATAATACAAAAAAGAAATTAAGCTTATTAACAAATCCACAGTTTCTAAACATAAGTTCAGCATAGATGCTTAGGTGAAATGAAAGGCAGAGTAGAGAGCGATGCTGAACTGTGAAGCTCTTAATCACATTAAAGATTATTTACACAGGTAACTGCTCTAAAGCCATTGTGAAAAACCAGATCATCAGTAATGATCTTCTTTATAGAACTGTGAAGTTGGACTTCCCTTGCTGTCCGGTATAGTCCCTTGCCAAAACAGACACTTGACGAAGAAACAACACATTAAGACAATGTATTTTAAAGGAGTGGAAGCAGTGTGTTATTCAATGTATTCTTATACATCTGATTAATTGTTTTAGGTTTTTTGGGGGGTGGTTTGTTGGGGTTTTGTTTCTTTGGGGGTTTTTGGTGTGCTTGTTTTTTTCTTAAAATAAGATCTCCTTTTGCGTCCTTTCAGTGTTTCAGGTATGTTATTTTGAAATCCTTAAATCCCCCTAGACTAAATACAAGTAGTGCATATGTATTTGATTGCCAAAACTAGAAACACTAGTTAAGTAAAACAAACAAACAAACAAAAAATCTAAGATAGGCATGCACAGAAAAGGGTGGCAGGCATATGTACAAGTTAGCATAACATTCAGAAAGAATAGAGAAATTAGAAGAAAAATGTAATTTATACTAGTATGGACTGCATTTGGACTCAGACCTGAATAGGTCCCACAATGTTTAGCAAAAAAAAGAAAGTTAATGCTTTCCCAGAAAAAAAAAGCCATATATACAAATGGTTTCATTAGCCTTTGCAGTAAAACACATTCTGTCCTGGAAAATTATCCTGCTTCAACTACCCTCAGCTACAAAAAGACAGGTGACCATCAATACCATACATCATCTTGTTAAAAAGGGTGAAAAAATGTAATTATTATGGTATAACATAGAGACAAAAACGTTTATGAACACCAGGTTTAGGGCTAACAAAAGGTAGGATTATGCATGGAGAAATGTCTCGAAATTAACTAAATAGAAACAGGAGATTTAGAGTTGAGTTTTGAGGTGTTTTCTTTTGGTTTGTTTTTTTTTTTTTAATTGAGACATCTAACGGCAAAAGTGTGTAGTCCCACTGCATGCCCACACAGAAGATTGCAGTGAAGAAGACAAACACAATTCAGAGACAAAGCTGAGCAAACCTGCCCATTCAGCATGCCTGAAGGTGAATGCTCTCCCATACAAACACCTTGGGTCCATGCAAAAGCCCCTCGGGTCTCCTCTGCTATCACGAAAACCTGTGTACTTCACTGTAAACTCAATGCAATCTTACAGTACACGGCTACATTTTGTTATAATATATTAGAAAAAACGAAAGGGATATCGATGAAATCTCTTATATAAGGCATCTGCTGCATTATTTACAACTTCTGCCTGGATTTTTGAATACAATATTAGGCAGCAGGCACTGCAATTTGGAAGCCATGAGCTGTGTGTGAAATTCTTTACACAATCTGAAGAAAAAGTCATGCACCAAAATCCTGGGCATCCTAATTTCCTCTAGACAAAAATCCCATCTCACAACATGAGGTAATAATCTTTTGACTGTTTTGAGACATTTACCTTGTGCCAACCTTTTAAAGGCCATTTTCTCTTTTTCAGCATGAAACCTTCATGTTTGTCTGGCTTCTGGACATTGGTCTGGCCTATTTTCAGACCCTCTATGATTTCCCAGCTGTCAGGTTCCTGGTGAAAAAGTACAAAGACACATTGATTAATTAACTGCACACACATGACAAAAAATTGCATTTTATGTAGCACAAATTCTCCAGTGCAAGATAGAGAGTAAAGGAGGGCTAGGCTTTTAAATCAGCCTATTTAGATACCAAACTACAAGGTCACTGTAGTACAACCAGATGTATCACATTTAAAATCACTGAATACAGATATTGTTTGAAGTCTAAGCCTTACTATGTAACTAAAATGAAACTGAAGCTTTTAAAAAAGTCTGACACTGTAACTGAACGACAATCTGAGGGTGGGTTTGGATGTTCACCACAAGGACTGCATCCCAATGAAATAAATACATCCAAATACGTGAAAACAAGATCAAATTGTGGCTGAACTAAGAATAAGAAAGGTCAGACTTGCTACTGGACGTAACAGTGCAAAAGTGCAGGTGGCTCTGACCACCTGTTAAGTCTATTCAGAAGGCACCCCACAAATTAGCACTGCACTGTAAGAGCTAAAAGGAATGAAGAGATTTTGCAAGTGGGGTATGGGCAGAATCTGCATGCTAAAAAATTTACCTTTACTCACAGTATTCCTTCTCTAAAAAAAGATGGGATTGCAAGATGAAATGAGGAAGCAACCATACTGTTAAATATATGGGCATAAATTAACAGTGCCCTTTGTGGTATTCCCTGATCATAAAAAACTGTAAATTTTCTGATCTTTAAAGTAGAAGCTACATTGATTCTGCACACTCTGATTTTTCCTTAAAATCAGAAAAACAAGGAGAAGAAGTTGGCTTGTTGATGGTTTTGGATGTAGCAAGCTCTTGTCTTCAAAGGCATTTTAGGATAGTTTCACAGGCTAATTGCGCTTTTAGAAATCTGCAAAAGGAAATTAATCTTTTTTTAAATTTTCCTGTATTCATTTTCACTGTATTAAGAGAAATTTATAGGAAAGCTAACTAATTTTCTCTCCAGAGAAAAGAATAGGAACTGTATCATTTTGGATACAACCAGTTGTATGCAATTCAGGGAGCCAATTAAAGCATACTTCTTCTACATACCACTTTTACACATGACAACTTGTACAACTCAAGCCAGACTTAAATATACCATAGTGAACAGCCAAAGAACAATATTTTAAAGAGAAAAAAGTCATGCCTTTATATCTGTCCTCTTGCTATTACTGTAATCAACAAAATTCTATACCAATTTCAAAATCTCCTATTGCCTGCTCATTAAGACTCTACTGATTGTATCCTAAAAAGGTGTAAATTTCCATTTTCTCAGATGATCTGTCACATCTCCCAGCAATGTTAAGAAAAGCTACCGAGAGAGGAAGAAGGTTATGCAGCATCAAATATTTAAAAGGAAAAAAAGAAAGTCTCCTCCATCTTCTACAAACC